GCTAAACCTTTGAATGACTTTTAGATTGTATTAAGGAACTGTCAGCGGAACATAGTTTAGATTAAAGCATGTTCCGTGCAGGATTGCTTTGGTGCACACTGACTGGCTATTTCCTATCCAATCAGCGCTGGTGAATACCTGGAGAAGACTCCAGAATCTTCTCATGTGAGAATTATAAATACACTGACGTTTTTCTTATTGTGCTTCTTAATTCCATCTACCCTTGCTATTTGGAATATAATTTCTTTCCTGTTCAACTATATTCTGATTTGGAAACTTGTCGACTGAATACTAAGCGATAGGAATAGCTGTAGTTTGTTTAAGAATATTCTTTTGTTTAAGTGATTTCATTATCAAAGACTGGTATTTGAATGAGGAATATTCTTTTCGATAAATTCTCTTGAGGTTATACAAATATATATCTAAATTAATAATCTGAAAAATGGCCAGGTTAAGGGCAAAGTACATCGTTAAAAGCATGTGAATTTAGGATTGTGATAAACAAAATACAATAAAAATTTTCATGTTAATATGACTCATATAGAATGTTAACTTGAATCTGCGTATATGCTAAGTGAGATTTAAGATCCATGATCAGAATAAATATGGGTCATATAGGGTGAGAGAGAAATGATAGTGCAATTACAATTCGATCAAATAAGTAATACGTAATACGGAGGGATGAATGCAAAGTGAATGAATCATGTATAAGGGAGATTAATGATGTTTAACTAGTAATACGAATAATAATAATAACAATACAAAAATTTATGAATAAAGATAACAGGGACAATTACAATTGACTACGAAAGGTCATACACAAATTGGGTCATTCAATAGTTAAGATTACGATTGATTAATTGGCCTTGATGTTGGCCAGGGGAGGAGGAGTAGCTGAATATATTTCTTCTGTACGCATAGCTCCGGTTTCTTCATTCGGATGGCTACTGCTTCAGCCGTTTGAAGGACTTTCAGTCTGACCAGTTTTGGCAAAAAATCACTTATCTTATAAATAATTGAAAAAGATTGGTTTATACTGGCATTATGACCGGTTTGTACTAAATGGGCCAATACTGAGCTCTTCACCTTCTTTATCAAACCTTTGTTTAGCCACGCTGGAAGGTGTTCACGAGCATGAAAATGTAAATTCCTAGAACTTCGACCAATATAACTCGCTCCACAGAAGCAGTCGGACTGATAAATACAAAATGAGGTGGTCATTTTATGTAGTTCATCTTTTAGCTTCGGTGTAACCATTGGGCGCTTAGAAAATACTAATCGCAGTTCTGCGGCGTTAAAAGACTTTTGTATTGTCCTATGCAATCTCTGAGTTAGTATTTCACTAGCCGCATCCCCTCTGAATTGTAGATGCATGAACAGGGATTTCTTCTCCACTGTTTGTATTTCGCCTACTTTCGCCCTCGTGACCATATATTTAATCATAAACTTTCTCGGGTAGCCGTTCTCCCTGAGAGTATTATGCAAGGTGTCAAGCTCTTGTTCGACTATATCAGCAGGACATATAGTGCAAATACGGTAACTAAGGGTTTTTGATCAAGTTTCGTTTGTAATGTAGAGGTACAAAGCTCAGGAAATTCGTATACTGCCCAGTCCATGTACTTTTTCTGTTCAAGTTCCTTTTTAACGATCCACCCGTTCTCTTAGTCAAGAGAACGTCCAAAAAGGCTATTCGGCCATCACTCTCTTCTTCAGATGTAAACTGAATGGCTGGATGCACTTCATTAAATCGTCTAAGAACCTCTTGAGGCGAAGTATTATCTTTACAGAGGATGAACGTGTCATCCATGTATCTACAGTAAAATATGAAATTTTGAATAATCCTTTTTAGTGGACAATTTTCTAGTTTGGCTAGAAAAATATCCGCTAGTATAGGGCCCAGTGGTGAACCCATTGCAACACGATCTGTTTGTCTACATATTTCACCGCTGAACTTGAAATTCACATTAATGATGCATTTGAGTAATAGCTCTTTCACGACATTAATAGGGACAGTAGTTTCAATTTCATTTTCTATCAGCTGTTTATCTATATATTCTACAGTCTCTATGAGTGAGAGGTTTGTGAATAGCGATGTTACATCCAATGACATCATCTTTAGTCCCAACGTACTTGCATTTTTGATTTTATCAACAAATTGGAACACATCCTTAACACTATACTTTACAAGCTTTTCGTGTAGAGGTTTCAATACAGTTACCAGCCATTTAGCTATAGTATGGTAAGGAGAGTTATACATATCTAAACTGGGTCTTTTTTATCATTTATTATTAATGGCTTTATTCATTATTATATTTTGGTACAATATAGAAATTCTCAGCACATGTTATTTCAACAAGTTTCTTACACAAAAAACAAACAAAGACAAAAAAGGGTTAAAAAAATTAAAAATCTGAAAAACTGTACAACTTTTCAAATTAAAGACATGTTAAGAATGCAGTTTATTGACTAGGTTAACTCTAAAAACCTGTTCGTCACAGAGTATATTTGCTAGGTAAGGTACTATAGAACTTTTATACTTTTGCTTGCGTGCATGGATTTTAATGTAATTACGTCTCGTTCTACCAGAAGATATACAAACAGAAAGATAAGATTGAAGGGGATGGCTAGTATCTGATAAAATAACACCTGCCAAGAGTTTGCATCATTTTAAATGTCTATCCACAACCATATTAATTATGATCTCGAAAGATTCACCACACATCTTGCTAACTGCCTTCAGCACTACCCGCAATACAACAAAGTCTTTCCTCAAAAGCCCGGGAAAGAATAATGGGGAACAGTAAAGAATAATAGGTAATATGCTGGAATTGACAAACTGTAAGAGTAAATGACGAGTAATCCCAAGAGCATGCAATCTCTTTATGTGGTTAGTCAAACGGAAAACCTTCTTCGATAAAAATAAAACGTGTGAAGACCAAGAGAGATCAGAAGAAAAGGTAACACCAAGATAATTGACCTTAGACACTGTGTTTATCAAAGAGTCCCCGATGGTACAAGCATTATGGGATCTCAAAATGGTGCTTAGATTCCGCTCATGTCTCATGCTAAAGTTAACGGCTTGACATTTAGACGGATTAAGTATGATACCATTACCAACAGACCGACAATCAATACGAGACAAAAACTCATTCATTTCTATGGGATGTAAAGAGGAAGAGATAGGCATACATACAGTGAGATCATCCGCATATTTCACAAGAGTGTTTTCTGTGTAAGATGGCAGATCATGCAGAAAAAAAGAGAAAATAAGAGGTGAAAGAACAGCTCCTTGTGGTACACCTTCATGAGACAGTAGAGACTCTAAACACTTTCCACCAAATACAGTGTGCTGTTCCCTTCCAGAGAGGTAGGAACGTAGCCAGTTGGTTATCCAGCTGTCAGTGTTGACGCTGATTAACTTGTTAAGTAAACGTTGTCTTGGTATAGAATCAAAAGCTGAAGTATAGTCCAGAAGAGCGCATCGAACATACTTCTTACCCTTTTCTAAGTTGAACACTATATTGTGATGCAGAACAGCGACAGCATCTGAGGTGCTTCTGTTAATGGGACCCCAGGTTTGTGCACCTTTGGCAACTCATACAATCTCGGCAGTTGGGTTTCCACTGGTTTAATCATTTCATATAAACCCAATGAGATAGCCTGTTGGTCTCTGAGCTTCTTCAAAGATCTGGTAAGCTCATTCTCTATCTTATTATTCAAGTCTTTCTGGTCAGTTGTTTTTTGAAAATTTGATTTGACATTTAAGATTGTACTCATTTATTCAATATAATCACTTTTATTAAGAAGAACAAAATCTGAACCTTTGTCAGGTCTCGTAATCAGTAACGCCTCGTCCTTAAGAAGTAGGTTGATAGCTTCCTTGTGCTTCTTCGTAAGCATGCTTTTGTAAGTAAATTTATTGTTCTTATATTGGTGACAGCAGTCTACAAGAGTTGATTTAAAATGTTCTAACTGCTGATCAGAATTCACAACTAAATCACGTGTCTGACTATAAACATTCTCGAACTGTATATCTGTACCGATATGGTTACAGTTATTACGAGTATCACAAAATTTTAGACCTAGGGATAATACCTCTAGTTTTTCTTTATCTAGTTTGACACTCGAGAAATTATGTACATACCTTTTAGAGTCAGTTGAAAAATTGCTTCCAACTCCGAAAATTCATAAATATATTTATTGCCCCCCACTTTATACCTTTTTTACACGTTTAAAATCCCTAATGAACGCGTTAATTGAGCCAATATCCTGATGAATTGTTCATTAGGTTACTTCTGAGTACGACAACATACAAGTTGACTGCTAACCTTCACAACTTTGTTTTTTGACCTTGAGAACATTGTATCGCAAGAGATGAGAACATCGGTCTTGTTAAATTCTTCAGTAGCCGAATTCTCTTCAAATTAGGGAAATTATGGGCTGTACAGAACAAAGCGAAGGGAGCAAATATCATCCTGGTGCTCATGCTAACAAAAACTACCTTCATTTTAGTAATTCACTTTATATCACAGTTCCGAATAACATGACAAGACATGAGCTCGTAACTGGACATTGAAAGACAAACACTTTAAATCATTTGAACGTTTCGTAGTAAGGGACTGTAAGATGCCGAATTATACAGTGATGGGACTTTCAGTTGCTTTGTTCACTATTGACCCTATGGATAATGTTATAATAAGGATAATGATCACATTAACCAAAGGAGCTTTCAGTTGCTCATCTTAACCAACTGATTGTACCTAAGCACATAGGTGGAAAAAAAATAAATACGCGACTTCTGTCTTGTGAAAGTAACTATACATATTGCCACTTAATACAAGATAATTTGAACTTGTCACCTGTGGCATTTACCATTCGTTTGCATCACGTGAATGAATTTCTAACAAAAAGCGAGTCTGTGTAGGGAGGTTTTGACCATTTTTAAGCAAATAGGTTGTTTCTTATTTATATTGGAACCTAAGTGCACATTTTATTGTGCCGGTATTACAAAAGTCTTGAAAGCCCGCGAATGTCAAACATACGCTTAGGGGATTTCCTCAAAGGTTAGTTATCAGTAACGGTGCTATGTTTCCTAAGTCATTATATATTATTTTTTCCGTTCCTATCAAAATTGCGTTCCGTTACAGGCACAAATGGATCCCAGAAAAGACGAAACTGTCGGAAACAAATTGAAGAAACTATTCAGTACCAGAGACCGTCCTAAAGAAAAGCATAAAGATAAATGTAGTAAAGATTCGAGAAGTAGCGAGTCACCACCATCATCGGTTAATATGGGTAGTGTGAGTGACGATGAAGTTGAACGGAGATTTTTGCAAATGTTGGAGGATATGAATTTATCGGAAGATCAAACTATATCTTTGAGAGAAAAACCTATAAAAACGAAGCTCGAAATGCTTGAAACGTATGGAAAAAAGCTTGGATCTTCAAAAAATGCTCCTGATTATTGTGCGAGGTTCTTGTTGGTCCCACAAAACTATTCACCGAAGCAGCTGCTAAGCGCGTTGGAAAACCTACGTGTGAACTTATTAAATAATGGTGTAAGTTGGGTTCGGGAATTTAACAATACATCTAACAACGGTCTAAACAATTTGTTGCACTTTTTGGCCCTTACTCTGACGAACTACTACCCAAGTTGTGCTCTACATTGCTTACGTTGTATCCGTGCTCTTGGGAATTGCGGTTATGGCTTATATGCTTTGGTAGACCATGAAAGTGCAACTACATTTATTGCTAAGTGCCTGGACAGTGATCAGTCACCTCTAGTGGACTGTGCTATAGAGCTCTTATCTAGTATTGCTCTATGTAATGCTAAAGGCTACAAAAACGTTCTGGAAGGGCTAACATTTAGTGCGGAACTTAATGGGACACCAGACGAACGCTTCATGCCTTTAGTTAAAGCCCTAGATTGTCCTGAAGTTGCGCGAGCTTCGTTGCAGTTTATTAATGTTCTTGTAAACCGCAGTTGTCTTGATGAGAACTCTTTTGACATTGACTACAGAGTGCATTTACGGTGTGAGTTTAATAGTTTAGGAATTATTGAAAAGCTTAACAAACTTGAAAATTCATTGGACGCTGACATTCAAAATCACATAACAATCTACCGTTCTAGAGCTGATCAGGACTTGGACGATGTTTTTGAGCGACTAGATTCAGTCAAATGTGATCTAGATGATGCTAACCAGATTTTTCACATTCTTCATCGTACTATTATGGGAAGCAAATCAGAGAAGCACTTTCTGTCAATACTACAGCATTTTCTTTTTATTCGTGATGAGCCTTATAGATTGGCTTACTTTACTCTCCTGGAAGAACTGATTGGTCAAGTTTTAATTCAGAATGATGGTGTCGATCCTGATCCGCACATGAACATTCTGCGCTTGGATGTTGAAAGTACTGTCGCATTATTGGTAGATGCACTAAAGGAAGCTGACGCCTCAACTCGTGTTGAGGAACTTCAAGCTAAGTTAGATGCTGCTCTTCAAGCTAAATTAGAGGCAGAAGCCAAGGTGCAAACATTACAAAGTCATTTAAGTTCGGGGGACAGGTCTACCATCAAGCCTACTTCTGGGCTGGAAGGGACACTTAATTCTGTAATAGCAACTACTCCTAATATCTTACCTCCACCGTCAAGTGCAAGTATACCACCACCTCCAGGCATTCCTCCACCGCCACCTATGGAAGGTGTTCCTCCTCCTCCTCCTCCTCCTCCCCCACCACCACCACCTATGGGAGGTATTCCGCCACCTCCACCACCACCCATGGGAGGTGTTCCGCCACCGCCACCGGGTTTCCAGTCATCCAAACCTCCTGACGAACTTCCTTTTGGTATGAAACCAAAAAAGAAATACACTTTGGATGTCCCTATGAAAAAGGCCAATTGGGAAAAAATTAAACCCAATATGCTTGATAAAAACTCGGTCTGGGTCCAACTTCATGAGGATGAGCTTGAGTACGGTGATTTGTTAAAAAATCTTAGTGCTCAATTTAGCACAAAGCCAGCTAAGGTGATGGTGTCTGACTCTACATCAGATGGCGCAGCTTCAGCTGGGAATCTACAAGGTATTCAGTCTCGTAAGACGAAAAAGCTAAGATATTTGGACGATAAAGTGGCTCAAAATCTGTCAATTCTTCTGGGTTCACTTAAAGTGCCATATGATGAGCTTCGTCGGCGTATCTTAACTGTCGATGAAAGTTTACTCACTCCAAATATGTTAGAGCAGCTGGTTAAAGCCCTACCAGAACCACAAGTTATTTCAAAGATCAGTTCACTTAAAGATGAATATGAGACACTAGCGGAACCTGAACAATTTGTGTGCAAAGTTGGCGATATTAAGAAACTCATACCAAGACTAAATTCAATCCTATTTAAAATGAGGTTCAATGAGAGACTTAGTGAAGTAAAGCCTGAGATAGTTGATGTAGACGAAGCATTGCAGGAGATACATTCCAGCAAACACTTCAAACGTATATTGGAATTGGTTCTGCTGTTAGGCAATTACATGAACGCGGGTTCCAGAAATGCAGAGGCGATTGGATTTGAAATTAGTTTTCTAACTAAGTTAGAAGCGACAAAGGATGTATCCAATTCCCAGACGTTACTTCATTTTTTGATTAATTCTCTTGATCGAAAATTCCCAGAAACTGTTAAGGGGTTTCTGGATGACTTCTCGCATGTTGAACGGGCTTGCCGTGTCTCTGAGGATAGTCTAAAAGCTAACATAGCAGAAATGAAGAAGTCTGTTTCCAATATTGATACAGACCTAAAGACATACAAAGCTCAAGACCCTAATGATAATTATATTTCTATAATGCAGGATTTCCTTGTATTCGCTAAAGAACAGATGTCACAGTTAGAAATGATGCACAAACGAATGCAGGACAAATTTTTGACCGTTTCTAAATACTTAGCATTTGACCCCAACAAATACCATATGGAGAATTTATTTTCTGATTTGAAAGACTTCCATGTTTCCTTTAAACGTTCTGCTTCTGACCTAGCCAAAAAGCATGCGTTGGAAGAAAAAATGAAAAAGGCACGAGAGGAGCAAGCACGCCGTCAGCGTGAACGTGAGGATAAAGCTATTTTGAATAGTGCAGGACCCAGGGCACCTACAGAGGAAGAGGGAAATGTCATTGACAATTTAATGGAGGCCCTAAAGTCTGGTGCTGCTTTCGCTAATGGAGGTGAAAGGTCAGTCGTCAGGCGTAATCGAAATCGTGTGAGCCCAGCCGCTGCTAGTCTCGCGTCAGTTGCTTCACCATCGGCTATTCGACAAAGGCAGTTAATGCGCGCCAGATCTCGTAATTATGGTGACTTACCTCGTTCAGTTGTCGACGTAGCATGAAGTACCTAACTCCTTTTTACTCCTCTTCAAAGTTTACTTGTAAAGCGCCTTGAACGTCACCTTAAAGAAATTTTCAGAAGTGTTTGATAAATAATTTCTAACTGGTCAGATTCAAACTTGTATCTTTTTCATTTTCTTATTTGTACAGTCTTTCATAAATTTCATACATAAACTCATGTTAATTTTTGCGTAATCTTGTACGTTTTCAGTGTTTTGCAGTGTGTAGTTTCCGTTAAGATATATATTATTCATACTAAGTAGTTAATAATCAAAGCGTGCGTATTGTCTTGTGAAAGGAAACAACCTAAATTATTAGATCATTTCTTGTAGGTGTATTAAACTAAAACTGGTTGCCAACGGCAGATAGCGAGGAACCACTTTCTGTGTACTTCAAGCCTTCTGTTTAAAGTAAGGTGCGACTATGATAAAGTTAAAACATCCAGTATGTTTATTCATCAGAAATATATAGTCAGTTTGCACCATCTTTTATTTATTTATTTAAACACAAACATCGGTATAAAGGGGTACCAAAAATATATATATAGCACAAATTTGTAGTCTGGGGTACGATCCGGGTACCTAAGCTGAGACGGGTGGTTTCCTTGGGGTGGCCGCTTCCGGACATCTTGTTCATAAAGCAGTAGATGAACGTCAGTAGATGCGGTTCCATGTTAGGTGGTGGTTAGAAATAGGTCCACACTTCATTTGCCCCCTCAGGATTCTGGAGGCCCTGTGGACCATTGGTTTGGAATTAGTTTCTCGCCCCCCCAAATGGATCCTCTGTACCCACCGGTCCGGTTTAAGTGCAGGATATTCATGTGCATCGTCTTAGTTCGCAGAAAATTATATTGTGTCATACCTTTGGATTAAGTATGGGGTTTCAGGTTCAGGTGATTGCTATCTTAGACTTGTTTAGCACTCCAGTATATTCATTCTTAAACCGCTTAGGACTTAGTACAAATGATTGCATTACGTAAGTCAACTAGTTTCGGAATTCGGATTGATTCAGAATCTCATTATATATAGTTCCCATGTCTAACTTAAAACGAAGTGCATCAAACGCTTGAATGCGACTACATTCGTAGACGGGTTTTGGTATACATATCTAAGGCTGTTCAACACAAGATTCTTTGGGAAAATGATTGTTGTCTGTGCTGATATTTGGTCACATGGATTTTTTTGCGGCACAACAAAGTACAGTAGGCACATTTATCTTTACATCAAACATTTCCGAATGAATAATCTAGGCTTTGTGAAATGTCTCATGGAACCTATGTTTTCTGTTTTGTGTACTATTCTATTCAAGTTGAGTATTAGAAGACGTAGTTATTAGTATAAAGACAAACCTTATAAAACTTATTAACAAATCGGCGTGTGTTAAAGTTCTGGTATAATGACTCAACTTGCTCCACACTGGTTGAGTCTGTCAACGGAGTGGGATTTTATCATTATTGTAAGGTCAGTTGAATAAAAAAGTTACCGCTACTGTAGGATGAATAATGTTGTATTCAGAGTTCAAGAGTAAAACGATATCACTGGTCGTACTGATAGTTGATGTAGGCTGTTCGACTAGGTTGTGCTGCAGTAGCATTCCCATTCTATGAAGAGTCAGTGGAAATAGATTTGCGCCGTAATATTCATATTCCGTTTTATCCCCAATGGGTTGTTGTTAGCAATGAGTTCGGGTACATATTTTATCTCGGTCACTTCAGGATATTAACTTACGTTGCAAGAGTCCATTGGGATTGTCATTCGTGTGCACCAATAATGTACACCCATTCAAACTACTCCATTTCATTTCATCATTTTCGCTATCGTTAACCTCGTGATCCTATGTTCATTAAATTCTAGTCTTTAACTATTAATAACTACTTGGTTACTAAATGACATCATTAATCTGGGATAATACTGTAAATTGTTCCTTTCTGTATCAAATAGGATAACATATCGGTAGTTAGGTGTTAAAGTACTTAGTCAGTCAGTCAGTCAGCTACAACGTAGGACCAGGCACATGTATGCATCGGCCCAGGTTGCCATACCTCATTAGCACAGCAAGATGAACACTGGATTCATAGGAGTGGTTAGGTCAAAGGTGGTAATATATAGGAGAAAGATTGCAATAAGGATATAGTATAGGAAGAAAGAATTAGTTCGTAGAAAGAAAGATGTGAAGTGATCTTAATCTCTTAGTTTAAGAGAAGACAGAGAGTGTATACACCGACGCCATTGTGATCGATTCTGAGCCATGTCACCAAGGGTCTCCAACCATTGGTTACGAAAGTCACGCGGACCCCAACCAAGTAGTCTGCATCTACCAACATGGCTCAGACTAGAAGTTAGTGACTTCAGGCACTGATGCCACGTTTTGGTTTGGCCGCCCCTAACTTTCTTCCAACCATCCCCTACACCGGTTAGCATTGCACGTCGCGGTAATCGGTGTTCAGGCATACGTAATACGTGGCCCAACCATCTCAGTCGATGAAGATTCATAACCTCATCAACTGATTTACCATCATTCCCTAATACCCTGCGTCTAACCTCACTATTACTTACCCGGTGATCCCAGCAGATGCCAGCAATATTTCTAAGGCATCTGTGGTCAAATACTAGTAGCTTACGGGTGTCTTCTACTCTTAAGGGCCATGTTTCGCTGCCGTAAATTAAAACAGAACGGACAGCCGCGCAGTATACTCGTCCTTTTATTGATAGACGGATATCTCGCCTCCGCCAAAGGTGACGTAAGTTGGCAAAAGCCAAACGAGCTTTACGAATCCGTGCTGAGATTTCGTCAGACACCAACCCATTAGGGCTGATCAGACTTCCAAGATAAGTGAAGTTGTCAACACGTTCGACTACTTCACTCCCTATCCTTAGTTCAGGTGTTGACGCAGACCAGTCCTGAAGCAACAACTTGCATTTAGAGGGAGAGAAGCGCATCCCAAACATTCTGGCATTGTTGCTTAGTGCTACCAGAAGACTCTGCATTTTGTCAGCGTCTTCACCAAACAGGACTATGTCATCTGCATATTCTAAGTCGATAAGTGGACCTCCTGGAAGGAGATCAATACCCGAGAATTCAGTCGACGAGAGTGTTATTTCCATCAATAGGTCTATGATGAAGTTAAACAAAAATGGAGAAAGTGGGCAGCCTTGACGGACACCACTTGAGGTTGTAAAGGTAGATGACAGTTCGCCATAAGCCCTGACTCGACTAGTAGTGTTCGAGTAAAGAGCCTTCACAAGGTTTATGTACTTCTGAGGTACGCCTTTCAATGACAGACACTGCCACAGAGTCTCGCGGTCTACAGAGTCAAATGCTGCTTTTAAGTCAAGAAAGACCACCATCGTCGGACGCCGATAGGTATGCCTGTGTTCTAGAACCTGACGAATGGTGAATATGTGGTCGATGCAGCCACGACCAGGTCTAAAGCCAGCTTGGTTCTCTCGTGTTTGTAGTTCACGAGTCTTAGTTAGGCGTTTGATAATTATCGAGGCCAGTATTTTAGATACTATGTTTGTTAAACTAATCCCTCTGTGGTTGTCACAGGATGATTTTGACCCTTTCTTATATATTGGGACGATAAGTGATTGCGACCAGTCAGATGGGATAACGTCTAACTCCCAGATTTTAGCCAAAATATTAGTCAACCTAGTCGCTAAAATTGGACCACCATCCTTAAAGACTTCTGGAGCCAGTCCATCTGGACCAGCTGCCCTTCCTCGTTTCAGATTAACTATAGCCTTCTCAACTTCAGCAAGAGTTGGGGGACCTACTTCAATGTTCCATTCACTTTGTCTGGGAATGGAGGGTAGTTGTAGAGTAGCTGAAGGCCAGCTGAACTGTTCTCTAAAATGTTCCGCCCATCGTTCTAAACGTCTGGACTGGGAGCAGATGAGAGTATCATCTTTTTCCGAAATAATCTCACTTACACTTGACTTATTAGTTCCAGTTTCTTTTATTAGTCTGTAAAGCTGTCTTGTGTTCCCTATAGTCGCCGCCTTTTCCATCTCTTTTGCTTTCGTTACCCACCACTGCTCACGGTCGTTCCTTAGACTTTTTCTTAACCTAGATCTGATTTGTTTACGCTCTTCATCATGTTCAGAACCTGATGGGACGAGTTTGCGAGAATCCATCAGTGTGACAGACCTTGAAGAAATCCACTGGTTCCTTGTAACTCTGTGGTTTAAGTCACTAACAGATGTCACTGCTGTTTCCACAGCTGCTTGTATGTCCTTCCAAGCAACATCTGGGTCAGCCTCGTCTTCACAACTAACTAAGTGTGACCTCAGTTGTTCCTGGAACCTACTTTTGGTTTTCTCGTTACTCAACTCAGTTCTAATGGGTCTTTTTAATGTGGCTTTTTTGCGTCCATTGAGGCGCAAGCAGATGCGTGCCCGTATTAGGGCATGGTCGGAGTCCAAGCAGGTGCTCCAGAATGAACGACAATCTTCTACCGACCCTCTCCAACGATGACTGATGGCAATATGGTCTATTTGAGTCCATCGTTGGTTTGGTGTAGGGGGTCGCCATGTTAGACGATGTCTCTCCTTATGCTTAAAATTTGTGTTTGCTAAAAATAAACGATTGTCTGAGCATAGCTGCAGCAGACGATCACCATTATCTGTTCGCTGTGTCGGAATACTAAAATATCCACCTAAATGCCTTTCTGTTTGGTTTAAACTGCCTATCTGAGCATTAAAATCACCTGCTACGAGTACTATGTCTGAGCGTTTAGCTTTCTGAAGAAGTTCGGATAGCTTTCTGTAAAATTCATCTTTCACTTCATCTGAGCTGCAGTCAGTGGGAGCGTAGGCAGAAACGACAAAAAGGCAACGACGTGTGTCCCTATCCTTCCGAGTTCTTACGTAGCCGTTCAGCCGAACAGCACATAGACGACTGTTGACGGGGATCCACTCTAGCAGTGCTTGTTCGGCCCTTATGCTTAGTGCTATGCCTACACCTGCCAGTCCACGAGAACTTGCCATCGGGTCACCGGACACACGAAGGGTGTATCTCGTTGGCTCTCCGTCTTGCCGAGGTGAGGTCAAGTGAATGACCACACTGGAATCCTGTATGCGTGTTTCGGAGACACAGCATACATCAATGGAAAGAGACTCTAGGGTTTTAGCCAAGGAAGCCTGCTGACCGATTTGACATAGGGTGCGTACGTTGAAGGCTCCAATGTGTAGTTTGGAGCGAGGTTTCAGTAGACCTGGGACAGTGTTTTGCGCACTAGAATCGTTGGCTACGGTGACACTTGAGGTGGAAGCCGAGAGAGGAAATACAGAGTTGAAAGTCGATGTAGGAGGAATAATAGGAATTGAAGAAGGAGGTTGATTATGAATACAGTGGACTTGAGTGCTGTTAGAAGTATGAGGGCGGTTATCACTTCCCGGTTGCCCACACCGTGGAAGGGTTGTTCTGGAGGTACCTGAAAAGGAAATTGGATTAAAGGTGGTCTTAGTGAACTGAGAGCGTGACCGCAGTGCCCAAGGGACAACTGCTTGAGGTCGGTCACACACGACCTTGTTATGGGTAATTTTTGTGTTAGCTCCGTACTTATTGAGACCTTACCGCCGGAGACGGATATCCGTGGGATAAGGCGAGGTGTGCATTTTTAGGGTCGACCTTTTCTAACCCCACCCCTCCTTGTGGGAAGGCAGCATCGCTGTCATGCTGGTTGTCTGAAGGAAACACCTTACTGCTGTCACACCTCTGTACAGTCAGCAGTACGACTTCGCCTTCGGACCTTGGGTTTGTTGCTTTTAGTCTTACCGCTCTTCAACCGACCTGTCTGACATGGTAGGACCTTGAGGAACGGTTGTTCCAGCCAGTATAGCTCGGTTGCTTCATCACGATAGGCAAGCCCGACCACCACGTCAAGGTAGCAACAACGGTCGGGGTTAAAGTACTTAACCCAATTTGCAGTCAATGTAGCGAATAGTGAACAGGTTTCACATCAGCTGACATCAATTGCTATTGATTTTAGCAGGTCTACATCTGCATCCATCTTCGACATTATCTTGGATTATACTAAAAGAAACTATTACGCTTTTTAATCAGTCATAATCTATAGGGAATAGAGGTCAATCAGTGAGAAGTTTTTACGTACATATCTTTGACGAAATTCATGTGAAATAGAGATTCGTCGTACTTATCTCCCTAAAGAACACGTATTTAACTTAAATTACAAGAATAATAAGATTTAAATTATTTTTGAGAACCTTCCGAGGTTCATGATGTTTTTTGCACCTATAAAATTCAAGTTGACGCATTTTGACTTAAAATTGAGTAGTTTCATTGCTTTGTTAAATATTTACGAAAGCTCTCATAAGCGTTAAAATATCAGCGTAAACTTGAGATCTACTATCAGTGTTTTGCTTTCTCTATCTTATGAATCTGGATTTATCATAAAAATCTGACATATTGCATGGAAGGCAGTCTTGTGTCGCTTTATGTCCTCGGGAAATGATCGTAGAATTTAAACGACTCAAGACTACTTATAATAAATTACAGGTATCACTCAATGAGTCCACCGAATCATTGGTAGTTAAATTATGAATAATTAGATACGGCTATGAATCTGTGATGATCGACATGTCATTTATGTTGGGATACTATCCACTCTGATTCGGTCAGTATAGTCGCATAGAAAATGGGGCTGCTATAAAGAGTAGCTGCTGCGTCCTCAGGAGATAATTGACAAACTTTGATAGACGAAATAATTTCAGAGATTCACTACTCCCTCACCATTACTATCAGTCAGTCATAATCACCTTAGGGCTTGAATTATCACAAGCTACGGCTAGATAAGATTAACAAGATGAGTAGCAATGGAGTTGAGTTAATGCTTTAGTGATGTTAATAAGTTAATGAACATTGAGAATACGGTGCAAAAAGACCGTTTTGATTAATAGCTGTACAATAGTATCCACAGATATCTTTGCTGATTAGTATACCATCTAATTCACGAATTTAGTTTTTTTACAAATAAAGTTATCATTCTTGGTAAAATACTCGTTAAATGGTACTTAAAATTATTTGAAATGTCATTATATTACCAAGTAACCAAGTACACATATTTTACTAAACCACACTTCATAAGGTTAAGTGATGTCTATTTCGAAGTAAGCTGTACATAATGTGAACCCGTAATCCACTGATCCAAAGTCAGGTGTATGCAGTTACGATCTGGATGTAAGATAAGCAAAGGTAAGTTTCTGGTAAGTTGGGTGACGATATTATCCGGGCGTTCACAATTGACGTATAACTAGTAAACGAAATAGTCTATACTGGGGAGATGGTTCATGTTTGAATCTCGTCTTATCTATTTTATTCCGAGTATGTGCGTATTGTTGATGGCTTGCACACAATCAAAGTTTGGCTGAAGGTTGAGTGCTCAAACATCCTTTGTAAATAATCTATGCTATTTTATTTGGAGACAGTGCTAGTACCTCTCTTTTTAAGAACAAGTGAGTTATTTAACTCGGCAAGTACTTAATTTTAAGTGTAGCATGTTTTTTTTTTAAATTTGTTTCTACTTCCGTAATACACTACAAAATAAGGACTTAGATATCAAATAGTTTCGGGTTCAATCGGGTCGTTGCACGAAACTTTTTGTGGTGGTGTCTCCGGTCGTCAAAATAAGTGATTTGCGTTGTAATTTCTCTAGTTAAATCATTACTAAAAACCCTGCAAGTACGCTTTTTGATAAGTGCCAACAAACACAAAGCTTAAGACTATTGCCCTCTCTTTGGTATCATAATATCAGGTGATTGATCTTAATGGTCGAACCGCAATTGCAACCGATCGGTTTCTAATACTACTGAGGGGCATCAATTCGGACATTATCTGCTATTTGGTGACAGGTTTGTATATCAAGCAAATTTACGAATAGAATTCTTTGCTCTTAAAGGAGGATCACCAATAATTGATCATTTTTACTAACATATTTACTTAGACGAAGTTTACATTTTTCGATAAATAGCTTGCAAATCCCATCCAAATTCACTGATTCCAAGGCATTCAGATACTGTAAAGTTTGTAAAAGAATTGTAATATGCTTATTTAATCCTTAGCTATAATTATTTCTTTTGATAGCTACCTCTTTTAGTCCCTAAAAATGTAAACACCACTTTGCACGCATTATGTATATAGAACGTAATTCCCTATCCTCTGATTTTACAATGTTATTATATTAATGAAATTCTAGTTCTGATGAGTTTAAAAGAAGAGAGCTGTCTTAGAATGAATGAAGAAACTCGGTTTATGTATTTTTATTTCACTTCTCCAACAAAAGCTGGGTTGAATTCTTTAGGACTTTTGCTTATGATTTGATCACATAAAGGATTTTGTGAAGGTTATCAGTTAAATCATAAGTGATAAACACAATATGTAAATTAGTTGTAAGCTTTGGATTACGGAGTCCAATGCATTTGTAACCGTCATTATTTTTGTAACCAGTTACTGTATATTTAACAAACACAGAACTCTTAAAATTTGAGACTACTGAAGTGTAAACTGCAGTTCATGATTCTTCAATATATAACGAGTATGTGTATGCATGTACTAAGTGCTATTTGCTTTTATTATCTCTTAGATTTGTTAGAAATATTCAGTAATGAAGTGGTATTCCTGACATTCTAAATATTTTGTTTTAAAATGTTATTGTATTTTCCATCGTTATTTTCAAGTTTCAGTCTACACTTCTATACGTGTTTCTAACCAATGGAAGGCAAGTGGATAAGTAGTGTCGTTAACATATTGATGCAAGTTAACTAACTGGACAAGATAAACATGTTATATTATACTTATTTTTATGACTTGATAGTTGTGCGTAAAGATTTCAGAGATTCTCGAGCTTATCATTATTTTGTTTTTATATAAGTTGAATAATTTTTGCAGAACTTGGTAAGTAAGTTTAAATTTAATTGGACTTTACTGATTCGTTATTTCATACTAGGAATTATAACATATCTTATTCTGAGTTCTGAAAGAAAACTGTCTTCAGGAAGCGATACCGTAACAATGTTCATTTATTGTATCGAGGCGGCTTTAAGACTAAAGCGTTCGAATTGCAGCTACTAAGTCCCAGGTTTGACCACCTCTCCACCTACTTTGTTCTGGGTAACCGGGTAGGATCGTTAGGGCTCACACTTGCAGTATGGCTCATTATCAAGTGCCTTTTGGATTAGTTAGTTTTATCCGAGTGTATTAAAAAGATTTGACTTATAAATAGTTTTTAGGAAAAGATTTATTGTAGAGTGCTCTCTGTCGTAATTATTTATAGCAGCGTTTTTTTCGTGTAGTATCAATTGGTGTTTAGATGCACTTCATATTTATTGCCTACAAAAATTAACTGTATTTGATATGACCCAGTCTTCTGTTTCTAATTTAATGAACAAATTTTACAAAAGCTTAATGTCTAACTTCTACTAACGTGTCTGTGTGTTGTTAAAACGTGTTTGAGATGCTTGTGGTGATTTATCTCATTCCATGGTTTTCAGATAATGTTTTGTATCCAAAAGGACCAGGATTAGGTGCAGCTCAGATTTTAAACAATATAAAATCGACTTTACATTTTGGTACTTGTCATCGATCGATTCATGGGAATCAAATGCCTATTTACTGTTCATGCCATTAGTTTCTGATAGTCGTCCAGAATTCCGTGGAAACATACTTCGAGATTGTATGCTACATTTACCTATCCCTTTAAAAATGCCGTCTACGGTGGCAGTTGGTCTTGATGGTGTAGAAAGTCAACGAAAGGCTGACGAGCTTTTGGGAAGACTGAATAATGAAACTGAGAGTTATCATACAATAAAGCGTCCTTTCAAGCCATTGTTGTATACGGATTCAAGGTTTGTTAGTTTTTCTTATTCTCTTTCGTATTTTTAAGACTCAATAACTCAGTGATTAAAGTCAATAGACTTGTTGTTTATAGTTTCGTGAACTATAAATTGTATTGCTGTATGATGTGTATTTATTACCATCAAAGTATAAATTACTTCTTAAAGATTGACTGGAGTTTACGCGTACAATTAATTTTGATGGTGAAGTTTTAGAAGTAGTCAAGGCACTGGTTAATAAGTGTACTTAAATGGGTAATAGTAATGATCTGGCAGAAGAGATCATTCTATGTACAGCGAAACCTATAACTGCCTATTGTAAGTCTGAGTCGATTTTCTCGCGATCGTCACGTTAGTTTGTTTATAAAAGGGTCGAGTGCACAACAGTGCCTTAATACCAGTTCTTTTGTTTACTAGTGTGAAATCGATTCTCGAAGGTGCGGGTATTTAATAATCATTGCTTTCATTTAGTCACAGCACTGTACAGGTAATGCCAAGGGGCAGCTTTGTGTTTGTGGACAATTTATGAACTTTTAGATTGAAAAAATAGTTACATCAAGTTAGCTTCTGTTGAATTATCATGATTCTTTCAATGAGGCTGTTAGTGATTGGGCATTTCAGTGCCGCTAGACGTTATCAAACTATTCAAGACTGAAATCAGTGGATACCCTGGTTGTGTTTTCATTTAAAATATGACCTTCAGTACTTATTCTTATTTTTAGTATTTTGTTTCACAATATTGTCATTTCATTTTGTGTGATGGATTTGTCAGTACATATTAGTCTTTGATTTGTTATTTTTTATTTTCAAAATGATCTTACGAATAATGAACCATTGGAAAATTAAAAAAATATTTGAAAATGTATCTCAGTGGATTTTTAACTCGTTTTTTTAATTTTGTATAAATATGATTCAAACAATGCATATAGTCAGTAACCAGAAAAAAAAACGATTGATTGGTCTAATCAAATTAGTGGATAATGAATAAAGAATGCCATTTTACACAAGATAAAGTTTTATATCTTTTCATCGACACCAACCTTTAAGCATCTAAGATCGAGGAGAGTACACTGTGTAATAGCTGTATTGCAACATTAATAAATAGAATTTCAACTAATGTATACCAAACACTAGACGAAAATTCACTAGTCACTGTCATTAATTAAATAAATAATGTAACAAAGGTGGAATATTTTTAATAGTTATTAAGTAACGTTTTATCACTCCATTAAATTTATTTTATTCTTTGATAACCATTTCGTATATTTTATTATAGTGTATTAGTTCGTGTAGGTATTTTAAGAGTTTTAATAGAATTCGTTAAACAATCAATTGTTTATTGGTTGTCAACATTAAGTACTTTGTTATTGATTTTATCTTAACCAATTTACTCCGTATCGTTTGTGACACCTAAATTAAATCTATTTAAATCTTTATATATTTGCCAAAAAAAAATTCGCATCTTGTTTGCGTTATATTATCAATGAGATATTTTTGAACGTGCAACTAACAGAAACTAATCATTAAGGAAATAAATACATGTTTTGTATAGTTCACCTGCAGTTCTCATTAGTTATTAAAATGATTAGATCCAATGTTTTTGTGATATTGTTGTATGGTCACTTGAAGGTGTGACAAATAATTTAACCGCTTAACTTCTTGATCCGTTTTATATTAATTTATAACGTATCTAATGGATTGTAATGTTATCAATTATATTTATAATTAAATTACATAAGCGTGTAGGGTAGCTTGTCACCTAAATTATTTCAATACTTTTCACTTTACTGAAATAGACAAATCAATATATCTTAAAAATCCGTCTCATTATTATTTATTTTATTTTAAACACATAAATATTGGTACAGGAGGGCACCAAATATATATGCGCCACACAAAACAATGAGAATTTGCAGAGAAGGAAAAAAGGTAAGGAGCGTAAAAAAAAAAAAAACCGATAACGAACAGATTAGTGTAAGGTAGTGTAATAATAATAATGGGGGAAGCAGAAACGTACACTCAGAAGAGATCTTTCAGTTAAGGAAGAAGCAACCACTTTTTATGAAGAAAGTAAAAGGTTACAGCAGGATCGCCACTGGCTTCTATTCTGAGCCATATCTGATAACGTCTCTACTCGAGAACGTTTAGATAGAACCGAATTTCCACCATAGACGAGCTGCTGTATAAGTCGAAAAATAAGGATAGACAGAGTAGGAATAAAAGAGAGTGAATAAATGACGTAGTAAATAATAACAATAGTAATAATAATAATGTGAATCGTTTGATTAATAGTTGAAGCAAGAAAAGTATTTTCCATAATTATCGACAGTTCATCATATTTGTGTGCGGGCTGTGATACTGCTCGGATGCCCAGACCGAAGCAGGTGGTTATCTTAGGGGGCCACACCCCGAGCCTTCGACCTGAAGGTCTGATCCACAAGGCAGTGGAGCATCGTGAGAAGATGCCGTCCCATGGTAGCCGGTGACCAACGGTTGGTTCATACGCCATTTGTTCCCGCAGGATACTGGAGCCCATGTGCACCATTGTTTTGGAATCCGGTTAAAGCGCCGGACATTCGCTTTTCGTCCTCTCATTTTCGTAAACAACACCCCCGCCACGAGAAGGCAATGAGTAGGACTTCCTGGCAGAGGCTGTATACGCGTGGCCATGTGAGAGCATTTCGAGAGGGAGAGCGGGCCCACCCCACTCTCGGCCATACCAGGGCATTTGGGGGTATGTCGGTCAACTATAGAAAAGTTCCCAAATCTTGAAGTTTTCCATAATGACATCAAATTAGTGTGCATGTATGCCACTGCAACAGGTTTAAAATATGTTATTTAATTCACTCATTTTTTATAAAGTCATGATTGATAAAAATCAACAATTCAATAAGCTATTCATACTGCAAACTTTTCACCTACTTTATTACATATTAGTTTGTTCAAGAAATTATTTCTAAAGTTATTTTCTTGGAGCTTTCAGAATGTTATACATCTATGTTGGAAGTATCAGAAGGGGACAATATTGGATTAAGAAATTAAATGAATCAATAAGGCGCTTGACTACCTATCGATTGTTACAACATACATAATAATTGGATCAGGATTAATATATTACAGCGATCCTAAGCCGAAATAGAAAACCTAGCATCAATTAACAAATTGATATAAGCTATCTAGGCGACTATTTATTATAGTCAATATCACTGAGATAATAAAAATCGCTATCGGATGTTGAATATATCATTGTCTGTTGTCCAATATACGCTTGGTGTTTTTTTCTCTAAAATTAATTAATTATGATTTCATATTGACTATCTGTTTTCAAATAATTTCTGAAGACTGTTACAAGTTGAATCAATGTATGATTGTCTCTAGATTTGTATAAGGTTTGAGCTAGTTAGTGTCAATCGTATTATAAATACCATACTTTGTGAAGGTCAGTTAGTTAACTATGTAACTGATACAATATCTTACTTTTATTGGTAACTTATTGTTAATTAGTCACTGATTGGCATTTAATATAATGTTTCTGACTGATATGTATTTTTATGTGGTGTGTGAAACACCTATCCAGTATGTGCATTCGTCCTATCTTGCAAATGTACGTTTCTTCTGTTGAGGTGTAGCTAATTTAACGTATAACATTACATCGAGTTGTCACACTGGTTCAGTAACCCTCTTTGACTATCACAATAGATATTTGTTACTCTACAGATATAATGTCCTTACTCTCTATATCACTACAATTATTTTGAAATGTTATCACCTATTTTATAACCTATATTACATTTATCATTATTTTACTCTAGTCTTTATTGTACTTCAATGCCGTTCACTGATGCAATGGAACTTGGTAGTCCAGGTGATGGACTTATTATACGCCCATCTAAACTCGGTTTATTCATTTTACATGTAAGTGGAAATTATCCTCCAACGTATAGTCTAAATTCATTGGAACGTTGTCTAGAAACTTTTGATTTGTAAACCAGTTTTATTTAAATGATAATGTTTAATTAGATGTTTGATTTATAGACTTCTTTAAAACTAAGTATCATGTGACGTAGGTATAGGTTTTACGAACGATCGATAGAACATCTATGACTCTTGTCAAATAATTCACCAAAATTCTGTCGATATGTTACGAGACTATTATATATAGATTGTAAAATAGATGCATCGTATTAGAACATGTATTAAAACATTAGCAATTTGTAACTGAACTGTTTTGAAATGAGAATATATCTAAGTTGTGAAATAAAATAACGCAGGTTTTTGTACAGAAATACCTTGTAGTTCAAATAATCACACTTTGTAACCGAAAAATTTACCAAAAAAGTGTTAGGATATTAAAACAGACAAGATGGGTTGTTGAATCGAAAAGGAGAACAAAATATTTTACAAATTGGAGGAACAGTATAGTGAATATAGATTTATGTAACTAAATTTGATTTAGAAAACCACATCACCTTATTTCTTAAACCACTGATTTCTATCATTCCGAAGACAACAAATTTACATTATTTGTATATTGTAAATCAACCAATCCGATAAGAAATCACTCCTAAAAAGTTTTTGTCAACTCTAACTGTATGAAGGTTGAACAGAATTGAAACTTTCAAGATGTTACTAATCGCCACTTCAGATATAGTTGTCATGCAATCTAATGGAAGTACTGAAGTTCTTATGGAATACTTTAAAAAACATGGTATAAATGACAGGGACTGAGTTTGATTCTTATGACCAACGAAGTACGAGTTTTTAGATTTGTTGTAATCGGTTGAGGGACTGATGTTAGTACCATTTAGCTCCTAGTTAACGACATATTAGTTCGCGAGTTTCGACCTAAGTTTTTCCCGTTATTTCCAGATAGCGATCTTAACTGCCGTTGATTTTACCGAATCGCTGTGTTTAAAAGGCTTGAATAATAGATATTTATAACATCACATCAGTGTCTTTCGCATCCTACTTAGCTTTGCTATTCGCCACTGCTCTTGTTCGTTTTGCAAACTGATGAGAATGGAGACAGTTACCTTAACCACTGTTCCCAATATTTAACATGTCTGTTTGTGCAAGGTTCATCACCTCTCTAGCTAACTACTTTTTGAATACAGCTGAATCTTTTATCTTTCCATCGACAATAGACGTTTGTCCAGTTTCATCTTTGAATTTTCTCCCAAACGGGATAATTTTTCTGTGAAAGTAGCTACTTTTAATCTTGCTACCTGTCAACCTACTATACTAATTTGTTAAAACTTCAAATAATAAGTCATTCCATCAATAAAAACAATTGGGTTGCTGAGATCAACAGATCTGATCACTATGTTAAGGCAGTGGCTATCAGAATCCAACTCGATAGTTACGTAAGATCAGCAGTATTTGTCTACATAATCCTGGGTGTGGAATAGGTGCTCAGTTGAATAGCTAACAGACTAGAATCCAACTGACTAGTTATAATTAGGAGAATACGTACATTATACATTCACCTACCTAATGTAACCATATGAAAATTTGTGTACCAAGTTAAAAGTTAACGATACCACTCATCCCTACTGGTAGAGAGGTAAACATTCATTAAAGCTTTTGATGGAGTCTGCTTATACCTGGATTTTGTGCTGATGATGTTGTAATGACTTTGAGTTCGCTAGTTATCACGTGATTCATCCGCCAATCGAAATACGACTTAAACAATCTTTACAGTGTGCTAAACCAATGACTTTCGACCGGTATGAGCAGCCTAGAGTCCTTATTGGTCCCTTGCTTGCCTAGCCCGTTCAGTTGAGTCCGGAACACCAATACAGCTCCCATTATGCGAATAATTTATTTCAGACATACTGAGTTTATACGTCAACCAAACAGACCGCAACGCACCATAAAATAGAAAATAACACTCGTACAAAATATAGTCAAAAGTAGTTGTGAGCGCGGGAGACAGCAATTAATAAACTGAGTATAACTTAAGAACAGTAAATCATACAATAATAATCTATAGGTCAAAACGAAGCTTATAATAAGAGGAATGTAGATAAAACATAATCTAGTTGCTGAATGGTTATACGATAAGAATATATAGATAATATTAGTCCATTAATAGGTTTCAGAAGTTACTCGTAATTTAATCTTCGCTAGGATATAACAGATGTCGTTCAGAAGAACGATGAAAGCTCCACGACCAAACCATCCAGCTCAGAAAACAAAACTCCATCAAAATCATCCACCTGAGCTACAAATCTTCACCATCTCAAAATTCATTAAAGTATTTATTTATTAAAACTGTATTAACTAGGACAATATCTAAGTGAGTATGATGATGAAAGCTAAGAGGAGACTTAATTTTTGCATTTAAAATCTAACCAAGTTTTAGGATGACCGGATTAACATTATTATCTATGAGTTAAGTACTGGAACTTGACCGATAAACATAGTTGACTTGTGCTCTATTCATCAACTTATGGGACTAACTGATACTCGCATATGTGATAAATACTTTATACGGTACTAACCATTTACATTGGCAAGAAAAAATTACAAAATGTCAACTTAGTTCTTCCATTTTATCACTTACTCTTGTTGCCCATCGTGGAGAAGCATAGGCCGCCCACCAGGATTCTCCATCCAACTCTGTTTTGGGAGGTCCTTTCCAGTTGCTATACATCCTTTTGATGTTTGCTTCTGTTTCCCGACGTAATGTGTTCCTTGGTCTTCCTCTCTTCCTTTACCCCTCAGGATTCCAAGTTAGCGCTTTCCTTGTGATGCAGCTTGATGATTTCCTCAATGTATGTCCTGTCCACTTCCATCGTACTTTTCTAATTTCTTCGTCTGGAAGCTGGGTTATTCTCTCCCACAGTCGACTGTTGCTGATGATATCCGGTCAACGGACATTGAGTATTTTGTGTAGACAATTGTTTATAAATACTTTTATCTTTTTGATGATGGTCGTAAAAGTCGAGATGAAGGCCACTTGTTGAGTATACAACAGCGAATAATCTTCGATGTATTACCTTTTTCGCTAGCTTCTTTAATGGCTTCAAATGTGACCGGCAGTCCGGAAACTGAGTATGCCCACACTGTGTGAACTTCTTATGGGAACCAATTAATCTTGAGAGGGCATCTACCTGTCCGAAATCCATTGTCGGTTGATGCTTTATCTTGAAATCATAACTCAGCAGTGTAATCTTCAAAGTAAGGTTCCCTATACGAACTGTCAAATTCTTTCTCATCATCAAGGAAGTTGATGTATAGTGGTGAGTTCCATTCATTTGATTACTCAACGATGATCCGTATTGTTCTATGCGTGACTGATCCTTGCGGAATCCAGCTTGTTGATCTCGAAGTTGAACGTCTATTGAGTCTTTCATCCGGTTCAACAGCACTCTGTTGAAAAGTTTTTCTGGTACTGATAGTAGTGTGGTGCCTCCATAGTTCACAATTACTGAGATATCCTTTCTTTGGTATATTGATGGGGTATTCTTTTCAGTCTGCCTTTTGGCACTTGTTCCTCCTCCCAAATGTTCCTGAATAGAATGTGAAGTACCTTTGTAGCTACTCCTATGTCCGGAGATGATTTTTCAACTAGTATAGTGTCAGGTCCTACTGCTTTCCCACTCTTGGTTTGTCTGATGACCGTGGCGATTTCTTAGATTAACGGTGGGTAAACAGCTATGGGAAGGTCTGTGCGTGCTGCTTTGATTTCCGTTGGGTTCAGTCAAGCTGGTGCATTCAATAATTTTTTTAGAATCTTCTGTCAACCTGTTTCTCTTTTCTTGATTCTCAGTGATTGGCTTGCTTTCTTTGTCTTTGACCAGTACCTCTGGTTTACTATATTTGCCTGCTAGTGTCTTCGTCGTGTCATATAGTTGTTTCATATTTCACACTGTCACTGCTAGGTCTTCGACGTCTTTCTTCTTGTCAGCTCTAATGCTCTTCTTCACTTGCTTGTTTGTTTCTGTGTATTCAGCTTGTGCCTCGACTTATTCTAACCTTGTCCGACTGTTTTTAGTTTCCGTCTTGTTCTTTCTTTCTTGAATCCTACTGAGGGTTTTGATGGAGACCTTCTCCTTGTGATAACGCTTCTTTCAGCGCAACACTTTCTGGCATTTTGAAGTCAGTGCTTCTTTGATCCCTTTCCAATTTTTTCTTGTATTATTGTCATGTTCTTTGAGTAGATCTTGTAAAACTTGGAGCTGCGTTGAATTGGTTGAGCTCGACCTTTATAATGCTGTTTTTCCATTGCTCCTTTAGCTTCAGTTTCATCTTGGAAACCACCAGGTGGTGATGTGAAGCTATGTCAGCTCCTTTCCTGCTTCTCGTGTCCTGCATTGTTCTTCTGAATTTTTTGTGATGGAAATATGATCGGTCTGGTTCTGTGTAGCGTGATCCGGTGAGACCTGTGTAACCTTGTGTATGCGATTGTGTGGGAGTATTGTCCCACCTATAACCATTTTGTTGAATGCACATAAATTTTCTAATTTGTCACCCTTCTCTTTCCTTTCTCCCAATCAGTCCATGTCCTCCCATGATATCTTCACACCCGTTGTTGTCAATTCCGATGTTGGTGTTTGGGTCTACTATCAGGATGGTTAAGTGATTTCCTAGATACTTCTATACGACCGATCCCAGCCTCTCATAAAACTGTTATTTATCGTCTTCTTTGCTATCATTGGTGGGTACATAACACTGGATGACATTGATTGTGATTCCTTCCTTCTTTGTTTCGGAGGCCTTGATGTTCCTGGATTCATGAGATTCGCATTCTATGAGTGCATTACGTGCTTCTTTGGATAGCATCAGAGCAACTGGTTTAGTGTGTGGAGCATTTACCTCTTCTTGACCAGAGAACAGCAGCATTTCTCCTGAATCTTATCTTTTCCGTCCATCTTGGGTCCAATGTGTTTTACTTATTCCAAGAACCTCGTTGTTGTATCTCCTCATTTCCGAATCTATTTGACTTGTTTTCCCAGTTTCACATATTGTTCGGATATTTGATGTGTCTGTATTGAATGTTGTTGTGGCTGTCAGATGTGGCATCGGCTTCGTGACTTGTGAAGTATCTTGTCTTCCACAATGAGGCGTGATAATTATTCTGAATGAAAATTGATGAACTCGGGTGACAAAGTTTAAGTGGTTTAGACTGTTTATTCTTGTTGGTGTTTATTTAACAATGCTGTTTTGTACGGGATGAGGTTGTTTACCCCACACCCAACCGTCGTCCTTTACTCGGTCTTGGGACCGGCACTAACCCTAGAAAAGCTACAGGCGGAGTTAACCAAGTTTATCATTATTCAATATTAATTCAAATCGCTAATTTCGTGCAGAAATACTAATAAGCTACGATCATAGTTTCAACTAAAATCTAGTTGCTACCATTGTAACATACAAATTGTCTATGATGTTTACATAAATTTTGAGTCATTAATTGTTCGTAGTAGATGAAAAATATATGACAGATTTAAACAACCATCAGTTCTCTTGTTGTAATTTAATGGAGAAAGAACAGCTTTTGATGGTTCTACTTTTTCTAAATCGGGTTGTTTAATTGATCAGCTTTCATTATCATAGGGGCCTATTTTAAGTAGGTATGAACTTTGTTGATGATTTTATAGAATGTTAAATTGGTTTACTAACAAACAGGTTTAGTACTTACATCAGACTGTCAAGCGATGTATGTTATTGGTTTTTTCTAAATGAATGCTATACCGTTGGGAAAAGAGGTACCTAAAATATTACAGACAAAATAGTCTACTCAAAATGCAGATTTCTGATAATGGATATTGCATCAAAGAGTTGCACCAATATTGAATCAGAAATGATTGCATCATTGGGCGACAAATTAGGTTTTGTGTGTGGTATGAAAGTAAGCTCTAGTCTTGATTTTTATTGTTACACTGCTCAAAAATATAGAACTTCACCAAATATTCTCACTAAGATATTGAAGATATAAATTGAACTAAGAAATATTTCTTTTCAAATAGTTCTGTTATAACGTGAAAATGATGCTGCAAATTAAGGGTAGCGAATTATTGATCGGACCAAAGACGCACAAACACGTAGAACAGCCTAGGGTTCTGATTGGTCTCGCCTCCCTATCTAACCCAGCCAGTTGAGTCCAGAACACAAGTCACAGCCTCTGGGTTATGAATCATTATATTTCAAACATACTTTGTTTATATACCAATCAAGCAGACCACATCGTACGATAAAATAGGAAATAACATTGTACAATATTAACCAGTAGGAAAATGACACGTAAAATAAGTACTGACCAATAAGTAAATAATACCATCTCCAAGTCCAAGAATAGTATTAGACTTAATAGAATAATTTCTGGGATATTTTCCTGAATATCCCAACAGTTCATTATCAAGGTTCTCTTCTAATATTATAGGTTATATGGCAAAGTATAAAATCTATTCCAAATAGTTGGTGGTGAGTCAATATAACAATTTAATTCTATTCAGTTAGTAACTGGATTCTGGGAATTTAAACAAAGGTGAAAGTTTGTAATCAGTTAATTACTACACTTAGTTTGAAGGGACTGATGTTGGATATGTATATGTTTTGTCATCAATGGCATTTATAAGTATTTAATAGAACAAATGAGAAGAAAATTAGATGGTCAGCTCATTAAACACATTAAAAATTAGTACTTAATAAACCATAAATAACTAAAATGTTTTGGAAATTCGGACAGGATTTGATGGGCGTAATATTGACTAAGTAGAAGGCCAGGGTAGATTAAGAAGCTGTACAAATGTTTTCTGTATGCATAGGTTATGTTTATTGATATGTATTCCCATGGCTTCTACTTACGTAAGACCTGGATTCTAGATACAGGCTAAGTTCACTTGAATCCTATAGATGGCAATAAAAGTTGGATTTATATTGACATGGTGACTAGTCTCATCTATATGCATCAAAATAAAGCTTATTGTTTTCTATTGTTCTTCGGTTAAATAGGAAGTGAAATATGAAGCCTAAAGCTGAATGTATTTCTTTTATTCGAAATGATATCAATGCATATCCACTATAATTTTATTCATAGCATTAATGTAAAAGTAATTCTCTGAAGTATCTGAAAACTGTCCTCAAATTGTTTAGATGTATATAGCAGCTCCTAAACATGAGTTGTAAAATTTCAGAATTGTAGGAAATCAGTTTTTAAGATCCAACTGTCACCAGATCATTCAACTAATTTCAAAACAAAGTAAGTCGATATTAATAAACCGACTGCTGGTTTGTTAATGATATTGTTTTTATTTCTATAGTACTAATGGCGAGACTATAATTTATGGACGAACCATTCAGATTTACGATAACAGGTCTTGAATTTTGGCGCAAAATTCACTCATTCATCTGGTTAAATAGAGTTTTGGTATTATAGCTGATGTCAGTTCGTGATGAAAACCCTATATCTAATTTCTAACCTTAACCACCAACTGTAAATAATAATCCTAATTCCCCACGCTGGTTTATAATCCCCATTTAGCCGTAGTATGTAGGTGGACATTTTCAAGGTCTCTTTAGCGTCGCTCAAAGATCGTACATAAATTATAGTCTCACCATACTAATCATGTTACACATTAGCTATTTGTTAGTACAAATTGTTAATTACCTGAAATAAATCAACGTAAATCAATTAATAAACCTTATGATTCTATGTTTAGAACATTTACTCGAAAAATTATACCAAACTAATTAATACTTATATTACTGTATTACGTAGAAAATTAGTAGTTCGTTTCATATGAAATATTTTTGAAAATATTTTCATGACATTGTGTTTTGTTTTGACTGATAAATGACAGTTTAAGTACTTGTATTAAGATATATAATTTGTTACTATGGTGGACTTCTCTTAAAAAAATTAATTACCTAAAACTAACTTCACTATCGCTAATAATCTCTGCTTTATGAAGTATGATTTAATTTGTGGGTGCATCTTAAGTTTAATAATTCACAGGCTTACAACAGATTTATCACTGAGTTGCGACGAATGTAATGTTTATTTAGTTCTTTACTGTTGGTCGAATTCTACCGATCAAAATAAAATATGGCTACTAGTTTGTGTGACCCAACACCTCATGCATTATATTGAAGTGTTAGATTGTCTGAGGTAGTTTAGAGGAAAGTATGGACTTAAGTTTCGTGTTAGCTAGCACTTGTCAGCAAGTAATGTTTGCAAACGTGATGGGATTGATGTTTCTTATGTCGAGGGTTTCCTGCTAACTATCTACAATTACTTGACAATTTAGAGGCTGATAGGTTTGATTCATTTGAGATTTAAATTTTTCAAACCCTCTATCTATTAAGCAGAGATTTTCATGATGATCTCA